GAGGGGGCGAACAAAGAAGGGAGGGAGGGACGGAGGGACGGAGGGAGGGAGAGAAAAGCCTATGAGGTTAGGAGCTCATGTCAGGCCCATTTTGCAAATAGGAAAACTAAGCTAAGAGCACAGAGGTGGCTGCCTGGCCACGGTGACCAGCCATCAAGAAGCAGAACCAGGCCTGGCCCTGTGCTACAAGCCCTGCCCCATTCTTCATCCTAGCAAGGGGAAAGCCAGCTGTGGCCTCTCAAGGACAGAAGGCAAAGGGTCCAACTCTCCCTGCCCACCCTCAGATGTGACACCTCAGAGCCTCCTCTATCTCCTGGAAGACAAGCTGGAGAGATGGACTGCTTCGTGTTTCAGATAGAAAACAGAGGGTCCTGGGTGAGAGTCATGGTGTCAAACATCCACACGAGGAGGGTAAGGAGGGAAAAGGTGTGAGGGAGAACCATACCAAGGCGACTGGCATGCTGAGGAGCATTTTGGGGCAACTGGCCATGAGTACCTCCTCATCAGATGCTCCAGGCTGAGTTCACAAACTGCCATGAGGGTCTTCCTTTCCAGCGCGGCCCATGATGCCTACCTCAAGCTTCAGGCCTCAAGTTCCAGAGGTTCCATCCCTGCGTACAAAATACGGTCCTCTGAGTCGCCTGCTCTAATTGCAGGCCGTGATTACTCCCACAGTTTCAGGGCCAACAGCTGGGCTAAGTGGCCGTCCCCAAAAGCCATTTCCTGCCTGGCTGGGTACAAAGAGTTCTTTCCCTCTAAGTAAAATAAATAAACAGGTCTGCACTCATTGGACTTTCTATTTGCTGTCCACTAAAGCCTTCTGGCTCCTGGATTTCCATACAACTAAGATTTACAGTCTCTATTCTCCCTAGAGCAGAGTCCCCAGATAATGTTAATAGATGGCTAGTTTTGTCAATAAATCCCTCTGGCAACGGAGAGAAATATCTGTTTCAGATGAGTTCTCCAGAGCTGTAACCCCACTCCAAGAGGAGGGTACGTATGCGGCCACCACTGACTGCCAGCAAGTGCACTTCTGCAGAGCCTGCGTCCTGCTGCCTACAGGCATCCCCAGACTCTGGGAAGCAGCAGGGCTAAGGGCTGAGGGCTGAAGGCTGACAGCTGGAGTGGCAGCCCTTCAGTAAGTGCCTCTGAGATGGTATAACAAAGACCATTCCTGGGCTCTCCAGAGGAGCCCAGAGGTCTCTCTAAGTAGCCACCACACCCATCATTTGGGTGATGGATTGGTCTAAACACCAGACCCTCTGCTAAGGCGGCTTCTCTCCTTCCCAACCCCACTAGCCTAGGGGCTAGCACTCTCAGAACCGGACACAGTGCTCTCTGCTCCTGTCCTTACCTTCTGGCCTCCTTTCCCCAGGGCTGCTGAGAGGACCCCTATGGTTCAGGACAGCCATCCTTCCTCATCCTGTAGCCATGTCCACTGTCCTGAAAGCAGAGCTTCCTGAAAAATCCCTCCAGAATTCCAGGGCTTCCACTCAAATCAAGAATTGAGGCTGCCATTGGGGGCTGGAGACATGGCTCCGTGAGAGCACTGGCTGTTCTTGTAGAAGAGCGTGGGGTTTCGTTCCCAGCACCCATGTGACAGATCACAACCATCTGTAACTCCAATTCTGGGGGGCTCTTTGACCTTTGTTGCCATTGCATGCATGTGATACACTTACATACATGTAGGAAAAACATTCATACACACAAAAAAAATAATAAAAATAAATTTTTTAAAATTTTTAAATGGAGGCTGCCAAAGGCATGGGAGAAGATTCCACAGTACCTACGGCCCTGCGCAGCTGGGTCCCCAGCTCCCCTTTACACTGGCCACATCCAGTCTTGCACAGGCCCAGGACTCCTCTGCCCAATAGCACCCATGAAAGGTGATGTGTGCCAGGCGAACTGTGAACCGGGCACTGTGCTCTGTGTATCACACTCTGTGATCCTCAGGACAACCCCAGGAAGAAGGTGCAGAGGAAGTGGGTCCCAGGAAATGGGTCCACAGGAAGTACGTCCACAGGAAATGGCTCCAACATGCAAGAAAGAGAGTAGGAATCCCACCCAAGTCCCCTAGTGGACTCAGGGCAGGAGTGAGTGTCTGTGCATGGACAGTGCCTGCAGTGGAAGGCAGGGCTGGCACAGGGCTGGGTCCCACCACTTCCAGTAGGCACCAGGGTAGGACTCCATCCTAAAGATGCCTGAACCTTTACTTTGCCTCCATCTGGAGAGACTGAACTGGCAACCTTGGGTAACTTACTCAGTTCCTCCAAAGCTTGCCTGTTGTTCATATGAAATTGAGCAATAACAGCAAAGCTCCCTGTGGCTTTTTATGAAGTCACAGTCTCACCTCTTCCTCTACAAAGTCAAATAAAGAGGAATTCACACTCCAACACTGAGAATGACCTGTGCAAGGAAATGGCTTCCTGCTGAGCTACCTGGGTACTTGGGGGAAGCCTGGGGTAGGAAGATCCAAAACCATCCTGGATACACAGTGAAGGTGCTGTCAAAAAGAATAAGCAAGGGAGGAAGGAGGGGAGGGAGGGAGGGAGGGAGGAAAGGGAAAGGGGAGGAAGGAGAAAGGGAGGAGGAAAAAAGGAGGGAGGAGAAGGGGAGAAAGAAGAGGAGTAGAGGGAGGGAGG